CTTGATGGCAAACTGGCTTCATGGGTGCTGAGTTCAGAAATCAGAAATTTATGTGGGAAGGTTTATAGACATAAAGTCATTTTGATCTGGCTGAAATGAAATGTTTTAATATGTGTGTCTATACATGTGTACATAAATGTGTACACATTCCTTATGCTGAATTTAGACTTTGCTTCAAAAATACTGAGATCAGTGATGAGTTTATTTCACCTTTTTTTGCCTAACCAAAATCTAGTAGATGATTGGAATACTGTGTGATAACCTGGCAATGTTAAGCTACTGGTACTAAAATGCGCTTATCCCAAAATGTGTCAATCTTCTATACAGGTGTTCTACTCTTGTATGAAGCAGATACGCAATGCTCAGGATACACAAGCAAGTCTGTACAAAATAGTGACATGTGCAAATTTTATCAAACTGACAGATTACGATCTGGTTCTCCGAATAATACTTCATACTAACTCATTTAGGACTTTATCTAATCTCAGTTACCTCACTGCTTCTACTATAACTAGATTTGTCTTCAAAATAATGTTTTAGAGACTCTAGTTTTTCATGTATTTTATCTAACAGACAGGTCTAGCTATTTTAAAACAGACCATTTTATTTTAGTGCTTCTCTTTTTTTGCTGGGTGGGTTGGGGTACCTTTGCCTTCAGGGAGGCTCTTCAAAACACTAACGTGTAGATGAGTATATACGTGCATAGTGTGTATGTGAGGCAATGTATGTGTTCTGCAGGAAGAAGTCCCAAGCTGTATGTATAGTGCAGAGCAGGTCTTCAGACTGTGAGAACTGTGAATATCCTTTGGACACCACCCCATCTCAAGGCATATTTTTTAATATTTTCTGCAAGACGCCTTCACCATGGCAATTTGGTAATCCAGGATTGTTTGTCCCTCTCCTTGTGTCCTGGCCGCCAACCCCATGGATTCCCATCACCAGTGCTGCCATCTAGGTGGGCTTGCAGAAGGGGTCCCAGCCCCACGCCAGGACAAGATAAATAAAATACTGCATTTCACTGCATTTGACAGAGAGTCACTAAGTTATTGCGCATGCCTTCGGGATTCAGTGTAGCAACATTAATCATG